AGAGACCAGAGAGAGAGACCAGAGAGAGACCATAGAGAGACCATAGAGAGACCATAGAGAGACCAGAGAGAGACCAGAGAGAGACCAGAGAGAGACCAGAGAGAGAGACTAGAGAGACAGACCAGAGAGAGACCATAGAGAGACCATAGAGAGACCATAGAGAGACCAGAGAGAGACCAGAGAGAGACCCGAGAGAGACCAGAGAGAGACCAGAGCGAGACCAGAGAGAGACCGGAGAGAGACCAGAGAGAGACCGGAGAGAGACCAGAGAAATAGGGAGAGACCTTTAATTTAAATAAGAAAAGTTGTCAGACTTTTTCCTCTAATAAGATTATGAAGTAAAATAATCTTATTAAAACTACATTCAAGCAACAAAAACAATTTTTGTAAATAAATCTATTATACTGTTTTTCAGCGGAACATTCACTTTGTCTCCTCAGATTTCCACTTTTACAGCGACATTCTTAAATTCTTTTTATTCAACCTTTTGTGACCACCTCTTACTGGTATTATATATTACTGTATATCTTCTTGGTTTGTGCAATGATAAAATGCCTTGTATAAAAAAACCAACTTCAGTCTCTGTCTCAGTCTGAATATATTTGTTTGTGTTTACATACGATGACGTCATTCTCTCTTCATGGACGTGAGTTGGTGCAGAGCTGATGGTTCCTGCTGAGCTGATGGTTCCTGCAGAGCTGATGGTTCCTGCAGAGCTGATGGTTCCTGCTGAGCTGATGGTTCCAGCAGAGCAGACCATAGACTGTTTATATTAGCAGACATAGACTTTTAAAGACCTTTACGGGCACATCTTCCGCTGTGAAGGGAATTCAAGGAGGTCATAATTATTGTAATGCCTTTGGAGCGTTTCAGTGATAACATATTCTTACACAGTCCTCACCTGTCCATGTGTGAGTTTATATAAATATAACTTCAGTTCAGTCAGATGTGTTATGCTGCCCCCCTGTGGTTAGATTATTGCTGTCATCTTGTTAAGTCTCAAGTTTAAGTAGTTTTCTTAAAATATAGCATCACATACTTGACTAGAGAGACCAGAGAGAGACCAGAGAGAGACCAGAGAGAGACCAGAGAGAGACCAGAGAGAGACCAGAGAGAGACCAGAGAGAGACCAGAGAGAGACCAGAGAGAGACCAGAGAGAGACCAGAGAGAGACCAGAGAGAGACCAGAGAGAGACCAGAGAGAGACTAGAGAGAGGCCAGAGAGAGACTAGAGAGAGACCAGAGAGAGAGACCAGAGAGAGACCGGAGAAAGACTAGAGAGAGAACAGAGAGAGACCAGAGAGAGACCAGAGAGAGACCAGAGAGAGACCAGAGAGAGACCAGAGAGAGACCAGAGAGAGACTAGAGAGAGGCCAGAGAGAGACCAGAGAGAGAGACCAGAGAGAGACCAGAGAGAGACCGGAGAAAGACTAGAGAGAGAACAGAGAGAGACCAGAGAGAGACCAGAGAGAGACCAGAGAGAGACCAGAGAGAGACCAGAGAGAGACTAGAGAGAGGCCAGAGAGAGACTAGAGAGAGACCAGAGAGAGACTAGAGAGAGACCAGAGAGAGACCAGAGAGAGACCAGAGAGAGACCGGAGAAAGACTAGAGAGAGAACAGAGAGAGAACAGAGAGAGACCAGAGAGAGAGACCAGAGAGAGACCAATGAGAGAGACGAGAGGGAGACGAGAGAGAGACCAGAGAGAGACCAGAGAGATACCAGAGAGAGACCAGAGAGAGACCAGAGAGAGACTAGAGAGAGACTAGAGAGAGACTAGAGAGAGAGACCAGAGCGAGAGCAGAGAGACCAGAGAGACCAGAGTAAAAGACTTCAGTTCAGTCAGATGTGTTATGCTGCCCCCCTGTGGTTAGATTATTGCTGTCAACTAAAGCTGTATGAAGCTGAGAGTAACTATAAATACATGTTCTGGATTTTGTGCCAATGGGACGTCCAGTATTTGTGTTTGTATTTATTACAATCTCCATTAGCTGTATAAAAACAGCTATTCTTCCTGGAGTCGTTGTCTCACATACATTTTGAAAAAAACATTTTGCTCCTTGGCGTCACATGTGAGAAACAGAAATTATTACATTAAAAACACAAAAACAGAACACAGAATACAACAAAACAAATAATACTAACAAAAATTCAACTTACATAAACATCCACTCACTTTCACACGCACACACACACACACACGCACACACACAGGACCTGGTTAGTATGAATGCAATCTCAGTAACAGTGGACAGCAAGATTTAAATGTAACATTTAAATGTAATATCCATGACAAAGAAAACATGAAATACACATTTAGGTATTACAACATTTAAGCATCCACTGCGCCAATGTTTAGGAAAAGTCTTTTCAATTTCAATTTCATTTCATTTCATTTCATTTCATTTCATTTCCGATTTCATGAACGAAAATTTTCAATTTTCGTTCATGATGCAGACTGTTCCAAACACACATGGATCTGTATGTGATGGTATTCTTTCCATAATTTGTTTTTACTTTGGGCAGATTGAACTTACTTAAGTTATGTCCAGTTAGGTCCAGTTAGGTCCAGTTATGTCCAGTTAGGTCCAGTTAGGTCCAGTTATGTCCAGTTAGGTCCAGTTAGGTCCAGTTCAGTGATATTCCGAGGCCTGTTGCAATGTATTTCTGATTCTCTTGTTCTCTGTCCTGATGTTATAATCCTTCTCACTTGCACAGACTGTATCAATGTTATGGACAAAGTAAATATCAGACCAACAAGAAAAATATAAAGCAGTTTCATATTTATTGCAAAATATTTTTGTACAGATTAAAACTGAAAAACCATGAAACGAAGAGGAATGGACAGTAAGGCCAACATCAGAACTGTACAAACACAGAGTAACATTTTATACTGCACAGTTCTCTGTCCAACAGCGACCCCTACAGGTGGAGAAGACCTCAACCCTCTCCAATAATATTGGTTATTGCCTTTGCTAAAAACCCAGGGACTCACATTAAACTGAGTCCCTGAGTCTGAGACTCAGACCCTGAGACTCAGACCCTGAGACTCAGACCCTGAGACTCAGACCCTGAGACTCAGACCCTGAGACTCAGACCATGAGACTCAGACCCTCAGACTCAGACTCTGAGACTCAGACCCTGAGTCTCAGGGTCTGAGACTCAGACCCTGAGACTCAGACCCTGAGACTCAGACCCTGAGACTCAGACCCTCAGACTCAGACTCTGAGACTCAGACCCTGAGTCTCAGGGTCTGAGACTCAGACCCTGAGACTCAGACCCTGAGACTCAGACCCTGAGACTCAGACCCTGAGACTCAGACCCTGAGACCCAGACTCTGAGACTCCGCTGTGACCTTCGGGTCTCACAAGTGCTTGGATGGATACCCTGAGAGTAGAGGACTTTCAGTAGGAACAAGCAAACATAACTAAATGTTAATTACCACCTTTCACACATAAATAAATATCATTAAAAGCGTAAATGTGACCAGGGAAATAAAAGGCTGTAGAGAAACTGCAGTCAGGCCGGACTAAGGACTAAAGAGAGCTGCAGGTTTAGGACCCTCTGCAGAAACTAACACTGATTATTACGATGGTTAACAAACCACTCACAGCACAGGCCATGTAAACGGAGCCACGCAGCCACAAAGGATCATGGGTAACAGAGAGAAAGCAGCAACAATAGGACAGAGACAGCGGGCGGGACTCTGCCACCTTCTTACACCCAGGTTTAGACGTACTTTGTCCACTGCCATAAAGTGAGACTGTAGGTTCTAGAGAAATGGATGTTTTAATCCTTGTTTGACTTTAAGATGCTCCGTGAGTTTAATAATCAAGTTATAATATAATAATAATAAAGTTGTTTGCAGCGTTGGAGGTGTTTGTATCGTCGCCATCAGCTGAGCTTAACTTCATCAAAGGTAGAGAGTGGAAAGTGCCACCTGGAGATTGACGGCATGGATCCAGTCTGACCTAAAAACTGGTTTTAGATGTAGCTCGCTGTAGAAGTTTCACATTTCAAAGCTTTTAGGATTTGCATTAGAATTCTCAAAGGGACATGACGAGTCTGTGATTCTGCACTGACTGAAGGATAATAGTTCATACCAAAACCAAAGGGTTAAAGAAAACGTTGTTGGGCTGCGCACTGTTTTTATACTCAGACCTGTCAAAAGTACAAAATGTAACATTTAAATGTAATATCCATGACAAAGAAAACATGAAATACACATTTAGGTATTACAACATTTAAGCATCCACTGCGCCAATGTTTAGGAAAAGTCTTTTCAATTTCAATTTCATTTCATTTCATTTTCATTTCATTTCATTTCATTTCATTTCCGATTTCATGAACGAAAATTCAATTTTCGTTCATGATGCAGACTGTTCCAAACACACATGGATCTGTATGTGATGGTATTCTTTCCATAATTTGTTTTTACTTTGGGCAGATTGAACTTACTTAAGTTATGTCCAGTTAGGTCCAGTTAGGTCCAGTTATGTCCAGTTAGGTCCAGTTAGGTCCAGTTAGGTCCAGTTAGGTCCAGTTAGGTCCAGTTAGGTCCAGTTATGTCCAGTTATGTCCAGTTAGGTCCAGTTAGGTCCAGTTCAGTGATATTCCGAGGCCTGTTGCAATGTATTTCTGATTCTCTTGTTCTCTGTCCTGATGTTATAATCCTTCTCACTTGCACAGACTGTATCAATGTTATGGACAAAGTAAATATCAGACCAACAAGAAAAATATAAAACAGTTTCATATTTATTGCAAAATATTTTTGTACAGATTAAAACTGAAAAACCATGAAACGAAGAGGAATGGACAGTAAGGCCAACATCAGAACTGTACAAACACAGAGTAACATTTTATACTGCACAGTTCTCTGTCCAACAGCGACCCCTACAGGTGGAGAAGACCTCAACCCTCTCCAATAATATTGGTTATTGCCTTTGCTAAAAACCCAGGGACTCACATTAAACCATTATCAGGAGAGTAACAGAAGTATGGATGAACTCTGATGTCATCACGGCCCTGAAGCACAGGGGCCTCTACATTAGGACCGGACACTGGCCCTGGGTTCAGGATGAGCTGGGTCTGACTACATAGTTGAATCTGGGGCGTGCATGTGGGGTGTGCATGCCCATGCACATCCTCATGCGTTTGGCACTGATGAAAAGTACTTTCTTTAATGTAAACAAGTCTCCCTCCTTTGTCTCGGTCCAAAGGCAGAGACAGGTCCTGACATTCAGATATACAGCTCCCAAACATGGGATAACACAACAACCACTTCCTGTCCTCAGAAGTACGTCTTATAAAACTAATTAAATAAGAATTCAAGATTGATTATTATATGCATAAGCCCTTTTAGAAAACTAAACACTAAAACAGTTGAAAATGTACAATCCAGAACTCCAGAGGAGCCACTCAGAAACATCAGCAGAATCTGGAAACCTAGTCCTCTGCCACAGACCCCCAGACCATGAGACTCAGACCCTGAGACTCAGAACCTGAGACTCAGACCCTCAGACTCAGACTCTGAGACTCAGACCATGAGACTCAGACCCTGAGACTCAGACCCTGAGACTCAGACCCTCAGACTCAGACCCTCAGACTCAGACCCTGAGACTCAGACTCTGAGACTCAGACTTTGAGACTCAGACCCTGAGACTCAGACCCTGAGACTCAGACCCTCAGACTCAGACCCTCAGACTCAGACTCTGAGACTCAGACCCTGAGACTCAGACCCTGAGACTCAGACCATGAGACTCAGACCCTCAGACTCAGACCCTCAGACTCAGACCCTCAGACTCAGACCCTCAGACTCAGACCCTGAGACTCAGACCCTGAGACTCAGACCCTCAGACTCAGACCCTGAGACTCAGACCCTCAGACTCAGACCCTCAGACTCAGACTCTGAGACTCAGACCCTGAGACTCAGACCCTGAGACTCAGACCCTGAGACTCAGACTCTGAGACTCAGACCCTGAGACTCAGACCCTGAGACTCAGACCCTGAGACTCAGACCCTGAGACTCAGACTCTGAGACTCAGACTTTGAGACTCAGACCCTGAGACTCAGACCCTGAGACTCAGACCCTGAGACTCAGACCCTCAGACTCAGACTCTGAGACTCAGACCCTGAGACTCAGACCCTGAGACTCAGACCCTGAGACTCAGACCCTGAGACTCAGACCCTGAGACTCAGACCCTGAGACTCAGACCCTCAGTCTCAGGGTCTGAGTCTCAGGGTCTGAGACTCAGACCCTGAGACTCAGACTCTGAGACTCAGACTCTGAGACTCAGACCCTGAGACTCAGACCCTGAGACCCAGACTCTGAGACTCCGCTGTGACCTTCGGGTCTCACAAGTGCTTGGATGGATACCCTGAGAGTAGAGGACTTTCAGTAGGAACAAGCAAACATAACTAAATGTTAATTACCACCTTTCACACATAAATAAATATCATTAAAAGCGTAAATGTGACCAGGGAAATAAAAGGCTGTAGAGAAACTGCAGTCAGGCCGGACTAAGGACTAAAGAGAGCTGCAGGTTTAGGACCCTCTGCAGAAACTAACACTGATTATTACGATGGTTAACAAACCACTCACAGCACAGGCCATGTAAACGGAGCCACGCAGCCACAAAGGATCATGGGTAACAGAGAGAAAGCAGCAACAATAGGACAGAGACAGCGGGCGGGACTCTGCCACCTTCTTACACCCAGGTTTAGACGTACTTTGTCCACTGCCATAAAGTGAGACTGTAGGTTCTAGAGAAATGGATGTTTTAATCCTTGTTTGACTTTAAGATGCTCCGTGAGTTTAATAATCAAGTTATAATATAATAATAATAAAGTTGTTTGCAGCGTTGGAGGTGTTTGTATCGTCGCCATCAGCTGAGCTTAACTTCATCAAAGGTAGAGAGTGGAAAGTGCCACCTGGAGATTGACGGCATGGATCCAGTCTGACCTAAAAACTGGTTTTAGATGTAGCTCGCTGTAGAAGTTTCACATTTCAAAGCTTTTAGGATTTGCATTAGAATTCTCAAAGGGACATGACGAGTCTGTGATTCTGCACTGACTGAAGGATAATAGTTCATACCAAAACCAAAGGGTTAAAGAAAACGTTGTTGGGCTGCGCACTGTTTTTATACTCAGACCTGTCAAAAGTACAAAATGGTGGTTCTCAGTTTGTCGTTGTGTCAAATGTAACAGGAGTCCCCACAGAGTCCGGTCCCACAAAGTCCGGTCTCACACGAACAGCTGGATGCGCTCCCGGATGGTCTGTCTGCAGATGGGGCAGGTCTTGAGCGCTGAGCTGCACTCCATGCAGGAGGCGTGTCCGCACTGAAATACCAGTTTGATCTGGTTGTCGATGCAGATGGGGCACGTGATGCGCTCCTCCATCTGACGGTAACGAGACTGAAGCTGCTCCAGGAGGTTGTGCTGCTCAGAGTGCTCCGTCCCCGGGCTGCAGTCCACCTCGGTCTGGTCTGGGAAGAAACAGAAACACACCGGAACACACCGGTTCAATTCAACTCAATTCAATGGTTTTTTGTATTGCCCTAAATTACATACTGTACATACATATATACACACACACACACACACACATACATACATACATACACACATACACATATACACACACATACACACACACACACACACACACACACACATACATACATACATACATACACACATACACACACATACACGTTTTTGTTACCTGGTGGGTCCCTTTGACAGGGCCGTTCAGAATGGGACCCATAGACATAATCTTTTTTTACTGGGACTACTTTAAGTAATACAAAACAGTCAATAGAAACCAAACAACTATTTTAAAGGAATTTTATTTTAGATTTTGTTTTCGAATTGCAGTGATTCTATTTTTGACATAGAATTTAATGCCACTCCATGTCCGATGTCTAAGGTCATCTGGTGAGGCATTAATGCAGGCCAGGCAGTGAGACTTCCCAGGGACCTTTCCAGTCTGTATGAAAGGTGTCATGGTCTTCTCCACAGCCTTCACCTCAGATGCAGACCATGGCTTTCTTACACGTTCTAGGGAGAGAAATAAAAATATATTAGCAATATACACTCCCAGGGTGAGGACCAAGCAGCCTGGCTGTAATCCCCCACCTGGTACACTTACCAGAAGGGGCACTGCCACTACCATGGGGTGCATCTGGATGAATGGTTGAAGGTTCTCCGCTTGAAGTTTCTTTTAGCCCGTCCGTTTGTGAGAGGATCTCTACTGCTCTCCCTGTCGCACAGAAAATAAAAATACAAGTGGCCTTTAGGGGAAAAAAATCATACATATTTTAATAATATCAAGAATTACCTTCAGGCTCAATTTGTATCTGGTCGAGGCTCTTTCCTTCGAATTCCGTCACTCTTCCCTGCTCCATGGCCATCAACACTTTGCTGATTTTGGCCAGCTCCAGTGTCCCCTCTGGTAGTCTGTAATATTGCCTGTGGATGCGAATGTCATGGCCGAGGAAGTTGGCAAGTATGTCCATCTCATTCTCTTTCATATTGAGAACTGTAGACATAGTAGCTATGTGCTTTCTAAGTTTGGTTGAGGATAGCATCTCTGGATGCACCGCACCACATTCTTTGGCTACCTGGCGTAGGGAGTCTGATCCCCTGATGTGGGTGTCTGCGCCCGGGCGGGAAAAGAAGTATGGGTTATGGTCAGAGATGGAACAGGCCCTTCTGTTCTCCACCAGCACCTCCATCGAAGCAATCATTTCAGGAGTCAAAAGAACCGGCACTTTCCGACTTCTTTTCCCTTTAATTTCAATGCGTTGAAAATGCTGACACAGCTTTTTCTCAAGTTGGGACAGTCCCAGAGCAATGTCAGAATGGATCCCAGTCTTACTTCTTAAGGTAAAGGCTGTCAGTGGCATCTTTGAAACCTCACCTTCCCTTCTTCGATTGAAAATGATGACCTCACAAAGAGTCAAAACTGCCAGTTTAGACCAATGCTTAGACGTTGGCTCACTTATTAGGGTTTGCACATATTCAGGTCGACATACCTCAATATGTGCATGCATGGCTCTAACGTCCTCAGTCAGAGGGAGCAGGTCCGGAGTGTTCCACTTGGCTTGCCGGAGGGTCTGTAGGGCAGCAGAAGAAACACAGACGTCCCACCTCTTCTCAAAAAGCAGCCGGCTTCGTTGGAGGTTTTTAATAAATAGTTCATCAACACAATGCTCCATTTTTGAGTCACATTCAAGAATATCTGCTAGCTTTCTGAGGCTATGGCCGAGTTTGAGGGCCAAGGATGGAGTCTTGTATTGATTTGTTTCCTCATCATATCCAGCCACAGACCTGACTGCATCAATCACATGGTTAAAGTTGGAAGGAATAAAGAAATCCTTAATTGTTTTCAGTTTCCCTGCGGTTTTTGCTTCGTTAATTAACCTACCGACTTCTCTCATTTTCTGCCTAATGTAATCATGCTTAGTCTTATCATGCCCGTGTTTTAAGTACAGGTGCTCTCCGAGTCTCAGAATCCCCTTTTCTGCTTTGACAACACCCGTGACCTCATCCTGATGCATTGCCGAAATTAAAGACCACAGCTTTTTGCTGATGCCCTCCGGTACAGGCTGGGCTAGGGAGCAGAGGGACTGGACCCTACTTCTACCTGGTTTAGCCTGGTTTAGCCTGGGCATCTTTCTGTGAAAGCCGGCACCTGGCCACATGCCTCCACAGCGACTTTCGCTTAAGCAATGCCCCACAGTCTATACAGTGCAAAAACTCACTGGATTTAACTGGGGGATTTGGCTGTTTAGCTGGGACTAAAGTTCCAATGCCGGCCTTTAAAACCTCAAAATTGTGCTCACGGTTTCCACTATTCCTGATCAAATCAAACTGAAGTTTACGTGCTTTAGATTTCACAGGTAGAGCCAATGCTCTGGCTACGTCACTTTCATTTCCATGTTTTCTAGTCAAATGACGGGACATTTTGTGGCAGGACATTGAACAGTAGAGGCAGAAGTGTCTCTTGCTGTATACTCGCCCCCCATTTTTCTTCTTTTGCAGCTGCATGATAACAATCTTATTTGCCTTTGGTTCGTCACTTTCCGAGTCTTGAAGAAAAAAGTGTTTTTGATTTTTCTTTTTCCATACTTTTTTACAGGTTTCTTCTTGACAGTTAAATCGTCAGAATCTGAGTCGACTTCATCAATTAGGGACTCTTGACTAAGCTGCACAAACAACAAATAATTTGTAATCATTCTATATAACAATTTGAAGTCATGACTTGTAGTCAGCACTTACCAGTGGTTTGTAAGCGTGCGCTTCAGTGTGCTCCTCCATGATTTCTTGCAGCCTAATGAACCACACACTTGCACCTTTTTCTAGCCTGACACCTGATTTCCTCTGTTGTGCTGCTCCATGATTGGCTCCAGCCTCTGTTGTGCTGCTCCATGATTGGCTCCAGCCTGCTGGACTGAAATTGCCCCAGTGTGCCCCTCCTTGATATCCCGCAACCCACCACCAGGGTTCCGACACATAACACACTTTTTTCAGGAAAGTAAACCTCCAGGGGTCCTTTCCATATTTTTACAGAGACTGCATAAGGACCGTTAGAAAAGCATTACCCATTGATTATTAAGCTTGGACCAGTGGGGTCCGGTGTTCGGGCCCCACCACGTAAAACCAGTCCCCATGACGTGAGTGGAATCTCAGGTTATGGAACCCACCAGGAGTTGAAAACAAGTACACACACACACACACACACACACACACACACACACACACACACACACACACACACACACACACACACACACACACACACACACACACACACACACACACACACACACACACACACACACACACACACACACACACACACACACACACACACACACACACACACACGAAACAGAAAAGTAGAAGTTTGAGAAATGGGCAAATTAGTCAAAGAAATCAGAGTTGTCCATATTGTTTGGGGACACACTTTAGTGACGGTTACACACCTCCTTTCTCTGTCTCCAAACAGAGGTCAGTGTGCGTGGGTTTTAGATGGGACGCGACTCAGCTTGTTCTGGATATTTTCATCAAACTGGTCAAAGCCAAGTCTTACCTTGTCGGATTTTCTTTGTGATTGTAACTTGACATTTGATGCATTTCTTCATTCTGTGGGCGCACTCTGCAGAGAAATGAAAGAAGAGATATGAAGCTGGGAGCAGTCATGTCCAAATCAAACAGGACAACAATAAACTTCCCTTTGAATTAACATTTAAATTAAATAAATACTTCTGAACCATATGCACTTATAGCTCCAGAGTTTAATTTATTCTAATTTACAACAATCTTATTTTAATGATATTGTCTATTATCTTATATGCTAATGCTAATGCTAATATAATAGACTGCTTGATGTGTGCAATCTGAGTGCTCTTATTTTAGACGTTATTGATCCACAAGAGAAGTTGCGTTGTCACAGTGGCTTGCAGAGTATTCCACAATAAAAATAATTATAATGTTTTATTATCTGACTATTTTTAATTTATGCAAAAACACAGCAACCAAACTGTCCAATGGTGACATGAAGAACTTATCAGAGGATTGAGGCGCCCGCTGTAAGTTCTCAGTCTGTGTCTTTACCAATGCTTTTTAGATATTTGTGAAGTATGTTCATGTCCGACTTGGTTTTCCTAATCCTGTTTTTACCTTTCTGGTCTGTAATGAAGTTGTCGATCTCTTCTTGACTGTTAGGAGTTGTGTTTTTGTCGTTATTTGCCGTTTTTACTTTCTCTGGCTCTTTCAACTCGTCCTGATAATAGAATTCACTGAGAATGCTCCCAGTCGTTGCTCATTCTTTCTTTTTTACCAAGGAAAGATATCAAATCTGATACGCGCTGCGGACCGATTGTCATGGTAACGGTCCGAGATGGGAAAATATCAGACCAGCCAATCAGAGCGAGCGTACGAGCCAAGGCTTATAATTATAATAATAATTGGGCGGCACGGTGGCTGAGTGGATTGCACTCTCGCCTCTCAGCAAGAAGGTCCTGGGTTCGAACCCCGGTTGGACCAGGGTCTTTCTGAGTGGAGTTTGCATGTTCTCCCCGTGTCTGCGTAGGTTTCCTCCGGGTGCTCCGGTTTCCCCTACCACTAAAAATATGTACAATAGTTCTGGCATGTGCCTCCTGTACTGGCGACCCCGCTCCCAAAAATAACAATTGTAAACCGCTTTGAGACTCCGATGTGCAGTGAAAAGGCGGTATAAAAATAAAGATGACTTACTACTTACTACTATAATAAAAAGGCATCTTATCTTTTCTTATCTTACTGTACATTTGGATCAAAGCCAGACCATTGCAGTGAGTGTTGTGTGTGTACAGAGAGCCGTACCTTCACAGGCCACACTGTGCTGACAGGGGCAGAAGAGCACCAGCAGGGCCAGCTCGGAGCAGATCAGGCACTCGCTGGGGCCGGGCGGCGTGGGCAGCACCAGGTTGGTCATGGTGTTAGGGGTGGTGTGCACTCTCCTCAGACTGGCACTGCTGAGGGCCTGACCACAGGAGAGGGCCGAGAGCCGCTGTAGCCTGAGAAAGCACCACATGGTCATACAGAAAGAACATTAAAGAACATTATTTAGTTTTAAATGTTCTGGAAACGGCAGAAAGTCCAAAGTGTCTCTGAAACGTTTGTTGTTTTGTGTTTTATAATTGTTATTTTTCTTGCTTTTTTCTGCCTGAGATGTTGCTGCAGTTCAGTGTTCATGGTTTTACACTGGTCCAGACCAGAGCAGAGAGGATTCATGGTTTTTCACTGGTCCAGACCAGAGCAGAGAGGATTCATGGTTTTTCACTGGTCCAGACCAGAGCAGAGAGGATTCATGGTTTTACACTGGTCCAGACCAGAGCAGAGAGGATTCATGGTTTTACACTGGTCCAGACCAGAGCAGAGAGGATTCATGGTTTTACACTGGTCCAGACCAGAGCAGAGAGGATTCATGGTTTTACACTGGTCCAGACCAGAGCAGAGAGGATTCATGGTCCGAACCAAGTGGATCAGGTGAAAATCCACTGGAGGAATGCTAACGTTTTGAAAAATGCTAATGAAGCTTTTAGCATTTTACTTTGGACCAGAGCAGAGAAAATGGTCTGAACCAGGATCCACTTCTGCTGCTGAGACCTGAAGGACTGATGCTGATTATTACTATCGTTAGCTTTTTAGAATGATCTATTTAATTTGTTATGCTACTGGACACCTGCATTTCTCCTACAGGGATCAATAAAGTATCTATCTATTGAGGACAGGTGTGTGTGACTTCATGTCTAATGTCGTCGTGTCCTTGAGCAAGACACTTAACCCCACTTTGCCTGAAGCCCCCACTGAAAGAACAAGGCTGTGTCACTGACGGAGCAGCCATCTTCCTGTGGACCCACCACCTCCAGAGGATCAGAGGGACTGGGGCTATGAGCGTTGGGTGCAGCTCTCGTTGCCAACCCCTCGACCCAGAAATGGACTATATAAAGGGGCAGAAAATGAACGAATGAATGAGTGTGTGAGACTTGTACCTGTGCTTCTCCGAGAAGCTCTTGATGAGCTGCAGCACGGTGCTGTCCGTCACCAGGTCCAGAGGACTTTTGCCTTTGTGGTTTGCATAACTGACATCTGCCCCCTCCTGGGCCAGATAACAGGCCACAGCAGCCCCCACACTGAGCTCCGTGTTCCCCAAGAGGCCGGACGCACTCAGCTGAGGATCACACACACACACAAGAGCCAGCTTTAAACTCACTGGAGTCATATACTGTAAGTCATAATATCATTAATAATAATAATATCGCATTGGTTGTATATAGCGCTTTTTTAGCAAAGAGAGAGAGACCAGAGACTAGAGAGACCAGAGAGACCAGAGGGACCAGAGGGACCAGAGACTAGAGAGACCAGAGACTAGAGAGACCAGAGACTAGAGAGACTAGAGAGACCAGAGAGACCAGAGGGACCAGAGACTAGAGAGATCAGAGACTAGAGAGACCAGAGACTAGAGAGACCAGAGAGACCAGAGGGACCAGAGACTAGAGAGACCAAAGAGACCAGAGGGACCAGAGACTAGAGAGACCAGAGACTAGAGAGACCAGAGACTAGAGAGACCAGAGACTAGAGAGACCAGGGACCAGAGAGACCACAGACCAGAGACCAGAGAGACCAGAGACTAGAGAGACCAGAGACTAGAGAGACCAGAGAGACCAGAGGGACCAGAGACTAGAGAGACCAGAGGGACCAGAGACTAGAGAACCCAGAGAGACCAGAGGGACCAGAGACTTGAGAGACCAGAGAGAGAGACCAGAGGGACCAGAGACTAGAGAGACCAGAGGGACCAGAGACTAGAGAACCCAGAGAGACCAGAGGGACCAGAGACTAGAGAGACCAGAGACTAGAGAGACCAGAGACTAGAGAGACCAGAGAGACCAGAGGGACCAGAGGGACCAGAGACTAGAGAGACCAGAGAGACCAGAGGGACCAGAGACTAGAGAGACCAGAGAGACCAGAGGGACCAGAGGGACCAGAGACTAGAGAGACCAGAGAGACTAGAGAGACCAGAGAGACCAGAGGGACCAGAGACTAGAGAGATCAGAGACTAGAGAGACCAGAGACTAGAGAGACCAGAGAGACCAGAGGGACCAGAGACTAGAGAGATCAGAGACTAGAGAGACCAGAGACTAGAGAGACCAGAGACTAGAGAGACCAGAGAGACCAGAGGGACCAGAGACTAGAGAGACCAAAGAGACCAGAGGGACCAGAGACTAGAGAGACCAGAGACTAGAGAGACCAGAGACTAGAGAGACCAGAGACTAGAGAGACCAGAGAGACCAGAGGGACCAGAGACTAGAGAGACCAGAGGGACCAGAGGGACCAGAGACTAGAGAACCCAGAGAGACCAGAGGGACCAGAGACTTGAGAGACCAGAGAGAGAGACCAGAGGGACCAGAGACTAGAGAGACCAGAGGGACCAGAGACTAGAGAACCCAGAGAGACCAGAGGGACCAGAGACTTGAGAGACCAGAGAGAGAGACCAGAGAGAGAGACCAGAGACTAGAGAGACCAGAGAGACCAGAGGGACCAGAGACTAGAGAGACCAGAGAGACCAGAGGGACCAGAGACTAGAGAGACCAGAGACTAGAGAGACCAGAGAGACCAGAGACTAGAGAGACCAGAGACTAGAGAGACCAGAGAGACCAGAGGGACCAGAGGGACCAGAGACTAGAGAGACCAGAGAGACCAGAGGGACCAGAGACTAGAGAACCCAGAGAGACCAGAGGGACCAGAGACTTGAGAGACCAGAGACTAGAGAGACCAGAGGGACCAGAGACTAGAGAGACCAGAGGGACCAGAGGGACCAGAGACTAGATAACCCAGAGAGACCAGAGGGACCAGAGACTTGAGAGACCAGAGAGAGAGACCAGAGACTAGAGAGACCAGAGGGACCAGAGACTTGAGAGACCAGAGAGAGAGACCAGAGGGACCAGAGACTAGAGAGACCAGAGAGAGAGACCAGAGACTAGCGAGACTAGAGAGACCAGAGAGAGAGACTAGACACTAGAGAGACCAGAGAGAGAGACCAGAGACTAGAGAGACCAGAGAGAGAGACCAGAGACTAGAGAGACCAGAGAGAGAGACCAGAGACTAGAGAGACCAGAGAGAGAGACCAGAGACTAGAGAGACCAGAGAGAGAGACCAGAGGGACCAGAGACTAGAGAGACTAGAGAGACCAGAGAGAGAGACTAGACACTAGAGAGACCAGAGAGAGAGACCAGAGAGAGAGACCAGAGACTAGAGAGACTAGAGAGACCAGAGAGAGAGACCAGAGAGACTGAAGACTGTTCCAACAACCGAACACCGCGCAGGAGGAGAGCCTTTGACTCCAAAACAGACTTTACATGGTTTTCAACGGGACCAAAACTGTCCCACCTCTGCTCATGCGCCCCCTACTGGCCAGGTTCATGAAACCCAAGAATAGAAATTATGCAAAGTGTTTAGAACAAAGTGTGTACTGTTTTCTAAATCTCAGTCTCCTTTATGTTTCCAATCCGTCTCAGTATAATCTTCAATCTGTCTGAACCCCGGTGTGTCTAAGCCGGGCGCTTACACCTGGCTCTATATTTACCGTACTATGATTCCACATTTAGATCCTTCATCCGAGTGTGTGTGTGTGTGTATGTGTATGTGTGTGTGTGTGTGTGTGTGTGTGTGTGTGTGTGTGTGTGTGTGTGTGTGTGTGTGTGTGTGTGTGTGTGTGTCCTGCCGGGACCTCTTCAGTCCTGCATCTTTGTAAGCAGCTTGTTTGGAATGTAATTAAGTCTCACTTTATGGCAGCGGAGTTTTCACACGTAACAATTATATAAATAAATTAAATAACATGAATTGGTGCAATCGCAATTATTGATATATTTTTTTAGCCTGGTCTTAAAAGGCCTTTGGTTTGGTTTGAAAAGGGATTGGACCGAGAGAAATGATATTATTCTATTCTCCATTCTCCAAGTTTTTATCGCGGCAGCATTGAAAGAGAGCAGAGAGAGAAGAGAGAGACCAGAGAGAGAGAAGAGAGAGACCAGAGAGAGAGAAGAGAGAGACCAGAGAGAGACCAGAGAGAGACCAGAGAGAGACCAGAGAGAGAGCAGAGAGAGAGAAGAGAGAGACCAGAGAGAGAGAAGAGAGAGACCAGAGAGAGAGAAGAGAGAGACCAGAGAGAGAGAAGAGAGAGACCAGAGAGAGAGAAGAGAGAGACCAGAGAGAGAGAAGAGAGAGAACAGAGAGAGAGCAGAGAGAGACCAGAGAGAGACCAGAGAGAGAGAAGAGAGAGACCAGAGAGAGAGAAGAGAGCGACCAGAGAGAGAGAAGAGAGCGACCAGAGAGAGACTAGAGAGACCAGAGAGAGAGAAGAGAGAGACCAGAGAGAGACTAGAGAGAGACTAGAGAGACCAGAGAGAGACCACAGAGACACCAGAGTGAGACCAGAGAGAGAGACCACAGAGAGACCAGAGAGAGACCACAGAGAGACCACAGAGAGACCAGAGAGAGAGCAGAGAGAGAGCATAGAGAAAGCAGAGAGACCAGAGAGAGAGCAGAGAGAGACCAGAGAGAGACGACAGAGAGACCAGAGAGAGACCAGAGAGAGACCAGAGAGAGACCAGAGAGAGACCAGAGAGAGAGCAGAGAGACCACAGAGAGACCAGAGAGAGAGCAGAGAGAAAGCAGAGAGACCAGAGAGAGACCAGAGAGAGACCAGAGAGAGAGCAGAGAGACCACGGCACGGTGGCTGAGTGGATAGCACTCTCGCCTCTCAGCAATAAGGTCCTGGGTTCGAATCCCGGTCGGACCAGGGCCTTTCTGAGTGGAGTTTGCATGTTCTCCCCGTGTCTGCGTAGGTTTCCTCCGGGTACTCCGGTTTCCCCTACCACTAAAAATATGCCCAATAGTTCTAGCATGCGCCTCCTGTACTGGCCCCGCTCCCATCTCTGTGTGGAGTGAGAGACAAATGCCCAAAATTAACAATTGTAAACCGCTTTGAGACTCAGAGCTGCAGTGAAAAGGCGGTATATAAATAAAGATTACTACTACTACTACTACTACTACTACCACAGAGAAAGCAGAGAGACTAGAGAGAGACCAGAGAGAGACCAGAGAGAGACCAGAGAGAGACCACAGAGAAAGGTTCTTTATGAGTCCAGAGTCAGACCTTTGTGTAGAGGGAGTTGGTGCAGGTGTCCCCCTCGCTGGGGTTGATGATGGTGGAGGAGAGCTGAGGGCGGAGCAGGGCGGTGTGCATGGCCGTGTCTCCGTCCTCGTCCTCCATGTTCACGTCCGCTCCCTCCGTCACCAGCACCTCCACCAGCTCCGTGTGGCCCTGCGTCACTGCCAGCTGCAGCGGCGTCTGGTTACGGTTGTTTCGGATGTTCATGTCGCAGCGGCCCTGTGCAGAGGAGGAGGAGGTGGAGAAGGGGGGGTGGAGGAGGAGGTGGAGAAGGGGGAGGAGGAGGAGGAGGAGGAGGTGGAGAAGGAGGAAGAAGAGGAGGAGGAGGTGGAGGAGGTGGAAGAGGAATAGGTGGAGGAGGTGGATGTAGTGGAGGAGGAGGTGAAGGAGGAGGAGGAGGAGGACCAAAAGTTAGAGTCGGACCAAAAGTTAGAGTAGAGTTAGAGAGACCTGAGAGAGACCAGAGAGAGACTAGAGAGACTAGAGAGACTAGAGAGAGACTAGAGAGACTAGAGAGACTAGAGAGACCAGAGAGAGACTAGAGAGACTAGAGAGACTAGAGAGACTAGAGAGAGACCAGAGAGACTAGAGAGACTAGAGAGAGAGACTAGAGAGAGACCAGAGAGAGACTAGAGAGACTAGAGAGAGACTAGAGAGACTAGAGAGACCAGAGAGAGACTAGAGAGACTAGAGAGAGACTAGAGAGACTAGAGAGACTAGAGAGAGACCAGAGAGACTAGAGAGAGAGACTAGAGAGAGACCAGAGAGAGAGACCAGAGAGAGAGACCAGAGAGAGACCAGAGAGGGACCAGAGAGAGAGACCAGAGAGACTAGAGAGAGAGACCAGAGAGAGACTAGAGGGAGACCAGAGAGACCAGAGAGAGACCAGAGAGAGCAGAGAGAGACCAGAGAGAAAGACCAGAGAGAGACTAGAGAGAGACACCAGAGAGAGAGACCAAAGCTTATTTCCCACATGGTCTGACCTCTTTGACGAGGATCTCTGCGACCTCTCGATGGTTGTTCAGAGCCGCCAGGTGCAGTGCAGAGAATCCGTCCTCTTTCTTCACGTCCACGAGCTGCCGCGCCCGCCCCAGGATCTTCTCCGTGGCGCTGGAACACAGACCCCACACTGAGAAGAACGGACAAAAACTGCCGCTACTTTATGAGCAGCTAAATTAAAGCCAACGGAGAGAGAAGCCAAGACCCTGAGATTCATGGTTGCAAAAGTCGCTTTGATTCATAAATATATAGACTTTAAGCAATGTGGTTACAGAGAAATGAAGAAATTTAATGATGACAGATTAGGGCCCTTTACTGATGACAGATTAGGGCCCTTTAATGATGACAGATTAGGGCCCTTTAATGATGACAGATTACGGCCCTTTAATGATGACAGATAAGGGCCCTTTAATGATGACAGATTAGGGCCCTTTAATGATGACCGATTAGTGCCCTTTACTGATGACAGATTAGGGCCCTTTAATTATGACAGATTAGGGCCCTTTAATGATGACAGATTACGGCCCTTTAATGATGACAGATAAGGGCCCTTTAATTATGACAGATTAGGGCCCTTTAATGATGACCGATTAGTGCCCTTTACTGATGACAGATTAGGGCCCTTTAATGATGACAGATTAGGGCCCTTTAATGATGACAGATTACGGCCCTTTAATTATGACAGATAAGGGCCCTTTGATGATGACAGATAAGGGCCCTTTACTGATGACAGATTAGGGCCCTTTACTGATGACAGATTAGGGCCCTTTAATGATGACAGATTACGGCCCTTTAATGATGACAGATTACGGCCCTTTAATTATGACAGATAAGGGCCCTTTGATGATGACAGATAAGGGCCCTTTACTGATGACAGATTAGGGCCCTTTACTGATGACAGATTAGGGCCCTTTAATTATGACAGATTAGGGCCCTTTAATGATGACAGATTACGGCCCTTTAATGATGACAGATAAGGGCCCTTTAATTATGACAGATTAGGGCCCTTTAATGATGACCGATTAGTGCCCTTTACTGATGACAGATTAGGGCCCTTTAATGATGACAGATTAGGGCCCTTTAATGATGACAGATTACGGCCCTTTAATTATGACAGATAAGGGCCCTTTGATGATGACAGATAAGGGCCTTTTACTGATGACAGATTAGGGCCCTTTAATTATGACAGATTAGGGCCCTTTAATGATGACAGATTACGGCCCTTTAATTATGACAGATAAGGGCCCTTTGATGATGACAGATTAGGGCCCTTTAATGATGACAGATTAGGGCCCTTTAATGATGACAGATTACGGCCCTTTAATTATGACAGATAAGGGCCCTTTGATGATGACAGATAAGGGCCCTTTACTGATGACAGATTAGGGCCCTTTACTGAGGACAAATTAGGGCCCTTTACTGATGACAAATTAGGGCCCTTTAATTATGACAGATTGGGGCCCTTTAATGATGACAGATTACGGCCCTTTATATTATGACAGATAAGGGCCCTTTACTGATGACAGATTAGGGCCCTTTAATGATGACAGATTAGGGCCCTTTAATGATGACAGATTAGGGCCCTTTACTGATGACAGATTAGGGCCCTTTAATGATGACAGATTAGGGCCCTTTAATGATGACAGATTAGGGCCCTTTACTGATGACAGATTAGGGCCCTTTACTGATGACAGATTAGGGCCCTTTAATGATGACAGATTAGGGCCCTTTACTGATGACAGATTAGGGCCCTTTAATGATGACAGATTAGGGCCCTTTAATGATGACAGATTAGGGCCCTTTACTGATGCCTCTACATGAAAATCTTACATATTGATACTTTAAGAGATTTGGACTGGATGATGTCTCCTAGTTAAATGTACAAATACAAACTAATTCTGTTGAAGTAAAGGTTTGGTTGCCGTACACAAAGAGATTTTGATGATGATAACTGCCTCATTAGGAGCCTGTGCAGTCATTACAGCGGCTTCCTGACATACAATCTGCATTAGTGTGGAGGGGGTGGAGGGGGGGTGGAGGGGGACGAGGGGCATCGGTGGAGGTCAATCCAACTGCAGTGCACCACCGAAGTGACCGAAGCCTTTACGCATGTGTGTGTGTGTGTGTGACCCAAAGCATGCTGGGAAGAAAGAACCAGATCATGGGGCTGGATCTCACCACAAGAAAATGACAAAGTAATATGTTTTTTTAAATCATTTCCGGCCGCTCTTATTGGTTACGATGTATTACGGACAAAGCAATGTATCATGGAGCATTTTGAGTGAGACTGTTTGAAAGTATAGATTATCGCTATGGTAACCGTCCTTTTTTTTCCAATCCCAAAGTATATCAAAGCAATCATCACACACTCTTCTTTACCTGACCTCGTTCTTGAATCTAAAAATTCTCGTCTCACATTGATTTTTCGTATTTCTATATACAGAGATTTATATTTTTATCTCTGCTTCATTCTCCCTCTTACTCCGCTTTCTTTAATTACATTTCATTTCTAGTTTTATACCGTGTTTAGATTTGTGCGTGTGTGTGTGTGTGTGTGTGTGTGTGCGAATAGGCGATTGTGTGTGCGAAGGCGTCTGTGCAAATGTGTGTGCGAATGTGTGTACGGGTGTGCGAATGTGTGTGTGGGTGTGTGTGTGCGAATGTGTGTGTGGGTGTGTGTGTGCGAATGAGTGTGTGTGTGCGATTGTGTGCGTGCAATTGTGTGTGTGTGAATGTGTGTGTGCGAATGTGTGTGTGTGAATGTGTGTGAAAATGTGTGTGTGCAAATATGTGTGTGCGATTGTGTGTGTGCGAATGTGTGTGTGTGAATGCGTGTGTGTGAATGTGTGTGTGTGAATGTGTGTGTGTGAATGTGTGTGTGTAAATGTGTGCGTGCGAATGTGTGTGTGCGAATGTGTGTGTGTGAATGCGTGTGTGCGATTGCGAATGTGTGTGTGCGAATGAGTGTGTGTGAATGCGTGTGTGAATGTGTGTGTGCGATTGTGTGTGTGTGAATGCGTGTGTGAATGTGTGTGTGCGATTGTGTGTGTGTGAATGCGTGTGTGAATGTGTGTGTGCGATTGTGTGTGTGTGAATGTGTGTGTGCAAATATGTGTGTGTGCGAATGTGGTGTGTGTGAATGCGTGTGTGCGATTGCGAATGTGTGTGTGCGAATGAGTGTGTGCGATTGTGTGTGTACGAATGTGTGTGTGTGAATGTGTGTGTGCAAATATGTGTGTGCGATTATGTGTGTGCGAATGTGTGTGTGTGAATGCGTGTGTGCGATTGCGAATGTGTGTGTGGGAATGAGTGTGTGCGAATGTGTGTGTGCAATTGTGTGTGTGTGAATGCGTGTGTGTGAATGTGTAGGTGCGATTGTGTGTGTGGGAATGTGTGTGTCCATATGGCCTTTGTGTTGTGTGTGGTGGGAATTGGACAAACCGAATGCATTGTAAACTGCTTTGTTATTGTTGTATGTCTGGGTTTTATTAGAAAAAACGTCCACTACATAAAGTTGGAAAATGGGAAAATCCAACAATATTTTTTGTTGAATTGCAGTTTGTTTTGTGACCACTAGATGTCCCCAAAACATCACAACTTCTGCTTTTGATCCACGTGTCTTGCAGTCAATATCTTGAGCCGACCTGGCCTCGATGGTCCCGAGGTGAGATATATTTAAGTGACTAATTAACTGTAAAATAACACATTCTCATCATTTACACACTGATAAAAAAGGACAATGGTGTCTTTTTTTTTTTTTTAAGTCTAAATTCCGCTTTGCTTCCTTTGTGCTTCTTCAAAAGCCCGAAACCCATTTGTGCGACATTCAGAGCCAGATGTGTAAATACCTCATTACACACACGTCTTTACGAGTGTCTTGAACCAAGTGGCACACGCTTCAGGGGAAACCAGGCGTGTGTTTTTCATTCCTGGTGCCTTTTATTTTATTTTATTTATTTTTTTAAACACACACCATTTTCCATGACACTGCTGTTATAAAATGAGGTTTGGATCACAAAAACCCCGACAATAAATCAGCGAATGGTTCAAAGATAAGTAAACCCTCGCTGTGTGAAGGAGAGGTTCCGCAGGTCTTTCACTTCCTGCTACTGTCAGACTGTACAATGAGGACTGCTGAGCCTGTACATGTCATTCATCTGTCAATGAGTAAATACTAAAATCATGTGCAATGTGCAAAAACTGCAACTTCAGAATGTCCATATGCACAGTATTGTAGATATATGGGTTTGAATCCTGGTCGGAACAGGGCCTTTCTGAGTGGAGTTTGCATGTTCTCCCTGTGTCTGCGTCAGAATCTGGTTTCATATTTCACATAGTTATAGCACATAATATTCTGTGGGTCTTGAAAGTCAGTGAAATCATCAAAAACTATTGTTATAATGGACATCTTTCCTTGAACATTTTTAGCAGGAGAAGCTACTAAGTGCATATTACCGGTACATCCTATTTTTACTACAAGACACTGGCTCAAAATATAAACTGTAGTCTTACATCTATAAAGTCAGCGTTTGCGAACAAGCTACAGTATTTCAGTTCTGTGTGATTATCAGAGTAAAAGCTGGTTGATAGAATCTGCAATCAGTATATATAAACTTAACAGACAAGAATCAAATTGTGGCTTTTTAGCAAAATAAAAAAGGCACAAAAGTTGTAGAAATGCTAAAGGAGCGCCTGAATCCAGGAAACGATTCCCAAAGGTTTCCCGTATTCTTTGTCTTTTTGTTATTTTTATGGATTTCAGAAGTCCAACATCTTCGACCAAGGCAGAAAACAACCAAATGTAATGTATTCTAACATTTTAACCCAAAAACACATCATTGGAAGTTAAAAAGTTCAGTATAAAATGTGTTTAACTTTATATTTGATCCAGTTTTGGTTCAATCTAAACAATAAACACATTTTGTTTTCAGAAAAATCAACCAGAAAATAACAGTGAAACTCAAGTCACATTAAAGTCATTAAAGCCCTGACCAGAAAGAGTTGGACACCCCTGATTTAAAGTTTTAGGGCTCCTAAAAAATGGCGTCAGATGAAAAGCGCTGGTCCCTAAACTGTTCCCTGTGGTCCCCCTCTGCTAGTGTCATGTCTGT